TTATTAAAAAAAAAAGGGAGAGAAAAATAGATGATTATTATAAATTTATATTAATTTTTTAAAATTATTCATTTAAACGAGACTTTAATTATTCGTCTTTCATAGTTATTGTCAATGCTCTATCATTACCGTCGATGTCGATAATCGACAATGTCTATGTCTATCGAGTATTCTAGAAGGAAAAGTAATGTACTCGTATTATAATTATATAATACCACGGTGACCTTTAGTCGCTTATTTTATTATTGATTGAAATATTAAATAGCGCCACGAAGATATTACGTTCGATCTGATTTATAGTTGTTGAAAAACGTTTAATATTTTTCAATTATTTTATTAAAATTTTTAAACGATTTAATGTTGATCTTAAAAAACCAATTTTTTTTTTTTTTTTTATAATATATATATATATATATGTAATATATACATATAAATATATGAATATATAATTAATTATGAATATATAATATATAAATATAAATATATGAATATATATATGTATATATATATATATATATATATATTAATAATGTAATTATATAACTCTTATATGTATGAGTTGATTCTAAAACATCAATTTTATATATTATTTATTTTAACTATTTTTTTACACATAATATCAACGTTCTTAATGTAATCGTAAAAAAAATTTGGATCGATCGATAAAGTAGAAAATTACGTTTATCGATCTATCATCGAATGAAAATCTCATAACCTCTATTTTGACGTTTTCTTTTCTATTTAACGTTGTAAAATTACACAATAACGAAGTAATATTACATACTTTTTGTCCTTCATATTAATCCTCATATATGAACTTTAATCAAGTAAGATACTCCGTTACGACTTTAATTATCATATTTCTTTTTTTTCTCTTTTTTCTTCATTTTTCTCTTCTTTTTTTCTTTGTCTTATTTCGTTAAACGATTAATCTCTCGTCTTCTTACTATTGACTTAACATTTATTATCTGTAATAATAAAATCTGCATAATATTTATTTAACCGTATTAAAGTATAAATTTCTTTAGTTTACTTTTATTATTTACATTATATTTCTTCGTTATTATATATTTATTATCATTATTATTATATTATCTTTAACAGCAATAAAAATTCTCTCTCTCTCTCTCTTTTTTTTTTTGCTCTGAAAAGATTAAAATAATATAATATATTATTATACATATGTATAAGTATAAACATATATAGAAAAGTTATAATAATTATTTAATTCATAGAAAATAAAAGAAGGAATAATACGGGGATTCAAATGGTGCAAGAAATATAATAGGTTTAATAGGCAACAAGAAAAGTGAAGTCAAGTGAAGACTGCTAGAATATTTGATCTTTCATCGTTTGTAAAGAAATATAACCTATTATTAGATGTTGCAAGAATATAAGTTGATGTTAAAACATTTTTTCTTATTCTTTTTTTTTCGCGTTTAGAATAAATTTGAAAGGGTAATTTGAAACATGTCACGTGAAATATAAGAATGAAAAATGAAAAAGAAAAAAAAAATATGTATATATATATATATATATATATATATATTTGTATATGCACTACAATAAATAATAATAATAATAATTCATATAAAAAGATTTGACACATCGTCAACGGAAAACGCAAGTATTTTATCATTTAACAAGTAAACACATTCATGAATGAATATTTTGATACTTTAGACTCGTTATCGAATTGGAAATTATAAAATTTCTTTAATGCGATTCGTTTAGTTCATGTAAGGTCAATCAAACTCTTATGCATGTTTTCAATCGCATGGCAAATTGTATGATCGGAATCATGATAGAAATAAACATTTAATATCTTTTTATGAAAAATATTGCTGTGACTATTATCGATCACGCCATATTCCGGTCATATGATCTGTGTATGTGTATGTTTGTCATCATATGTACGTATGTGTGTATGTGTTTATTTGTGTACATATATATATATATGAACATAACCTAAATAATTTTTTATTCTAGAAAACACATAGAAATACGATAATTTTTACTTACTACATAATTATACTTTATATATATATAAGAATATAAATTTTAGTAATGATAACGTTGTTTATTTTACTAACGATAATTTTACTTATTACTTATTATGGCTGTTTAATTATTTATGACCTTTTTTTTTTTTATTCGACCAATGAAGAAATTATATCGCTCTATTAGAATTACTAACGATTCTCGAATAGTATCGATTTTACGGTCGAACTTAATGACGTAACGATTATTTTCGTCGTTTTCGTTTCTTCGAAATAATTAAACAGCGTATTTTATATATAACGTTTTACATATCGAACAGTATATAAACGATCACATTTTCATTGTTTCGAAAGGAAAGAAAGAAAGAAAGAAGGAAAGAAAGAAAAAAAAATAAAACACACACACAAATGTCTTTTATCAACAATCCATGTCTTTTATCCTGCTAGTCGTAATCGATGTTTTGAGATCTTCAATTAAGATTGTTACGTTAATTAACAAGATAGTTATTCGTTATAGATAGGGAGGAAGCTCTTGACTCCGTTCATAATCTTTTACGATAGCTTCTTTGGATGTTACATTAAATGCGAATAAACTATTCGTAAGAATTGTTAAACGAAAAAAAAAAAAAAAAGAAGAAAAAAACCTAAATTTTTTATCATTTTTTATCGTTTTCTTCTTTTTTTTTCTCGTTCCTCTTTTTTTCGTTAGCTACTATTAAAACAAAGAAGTTAACAATATTCGCATGTAAATAGAACGTACGTTTATCCTTTGTGGGCAGTCACATACGTTCAAATCGGAGATAAAATTCTTTTTTTTTCTTTTTTCTCATTAAGATTACATTGCGTTTCTGTGCATTGTTACGAACAACAAGAAGAATCATCAGTAACGTTGAGTATACGCCTACCATATATCACATCACGCGGGATGTTTTAGATAAAAAGCGCATAATGCAATACGTATCATCTAGTTTGATGAGAAAGAATGTTTAATTTAGAAATCTGGTTATTCCATTTTCCTCTCTTTTATTCACATTTTTCAAATGTTTGGGGTTTTTCAGTATAATTTTTCTTAGAATTCATTGAAGCATCAGAATATTCACATCGGCTAATATCGTATCTTTTATTTTTTAAATTGCTTATATAGAGATAGACTTTCATTTCCGTTTCATATATATATATATGTATATATATATATATATATATATATATATATATATATATAAAACATCAACGAGATATCATAAACAATATGGCGTCAATTCATCGAACAGATATTATATAAGGGAATCGTATTAATATGTTGCAATAATGATAATATTCCAAAGTAAAAAAAAGAGGTGCATCGAACGATTTACATACGTCCAACGTATAGTTGGATCAATTATTATATTGCTACGAGTTTGATATTTATTTCGCATTGTAATGGTATGATCGATAATAAGAATAGATTTAATGCAATACCATCATATAAAGTCACGTTTCTCTCTTTAGACTTTTATCGATTTGTCGTGAATTATACATCACCAACTGATAATATTCTTTTTTGTTTTATTTATGGTTTTTTTTTCTCCTTTTTTCTTTGGTTTCTTTTTTTTCTTTTCTTTCTTTTTTTTTTATTCTTTTTTCTTTTTTTTTTTTTTTCTTTTTCCTTCATCGCTCGCACTACCTCGAGTTTATTTTACAAAAAAAAAAAAAAAAAAAAAAGAAGAAAACAAAAAAAAAAGAAAATCAACGTTTAAGTTGAAATAATATTTATAAACAAAATTATTTATAAACAAATGTAGAATCGGCGTGAATAATTTGAACTCATCGAAATGTCGCCTCGGAGCGATCATTTTTGAAATATAATTTAAAAACGTTTTCATTTACATATAAAAGAAAAGAACATTTTTCTCACTCGCTTTCTATGAATAGAATTATTTAAAGAAAGAGAAAGAGAAAGAGAATAAATTTTTAGATTAAAATAACATTATAAACTAAATTACAAATGCCCGATAAATCGATATGTAACTAATAATATTACTAATAAAAAAATGAAAAAATGTAAATGCGCGCGCGCGCGTTTGTGCTTGCTGAAATAATTTATCTTGTTAAAACTTTCGTATTGAAAGGAAATTCCATTTTGATAGGAAAATATTTGATGTATTCTCATAAAAAAAAAAATATATATATATATATACACATATATATGCAAGGTAATATTTATTATTTACAAATCACATAATCTAAAGATAAAAAACATGTTTCTCGAAGATATGTGTATCGATCGAATTACATTTTGTATGTTCATTGACTTGACTATAAAAAAGAGCATATAATTCGTGATAAACGACTTTTCGTTGAAAAGAGGTTAACTTTGACCTTATCTTCGTTTGCCATACGTTCTCCAATCGACTGTGTGTTTTGTGTATATATATATATATTTTTTTTTTTTCACGTACATCATTATTAGTTCACAAACCTATAATATGTACATATATATAAATATACACGTATATACATATCATGTGTGTGTATCATATATACATACATACATACATATATGTATATATATGTACGCTTTTATTGTACTATGTCTATTTTGAATTATTTTCATGATATAATCTAGTACGACGAATCAACCCCTGTTGAGTGCAACTTCGTTGTTGTTTCTTTTTTTTTCTCTTATCTGTTATATTTCTTTGTTTGTTTTTTTGTTTTTTTTTTTTTTTTTTTTTTTTTTTTTTTTTTTTTTTTTACAAGATGATTAATCGACGGCATACATACGTATTTACATAAATCATCGTTTATAAAACTCAATATTAGAAAAAATTAATATAACATACATATAGCGAATATATATTTACATTTATTTCGATCATAAATGTTACGTTTAATTTCAATATCATATTACTTCAATATAATATTATTGATTATCCATTAAGTTAAAAAGTAAAATAAATAAATAAGATTGTATTATATTCTCTTATTCTTCTTTTCTTTTTTTTTTTCTTTTTCCAGCCAGCGCAGGAACATTGAAATTGCTTTTAAGCTTCGCCGTTGGTGGTCTTTTGGGTGACGTTTTTTTACATCTTTTACCAGAAGCATGGGAAAACGATTTATTGAAACGAGGTAAGAAAAAATGAAATACGATCGAAGTTATTATACAATAAAAAGAACCATATAAAAATGGTTGATAAATGAGATTATTACGAATTGAATTAAATGAAATAGATTTATTATTGTCTATTAATAAAAATTTCAATAAGATTAAAGTTACAATTCATATTTGTGAATTAAAAAAGATATTTTGGTTTTTAAATTAAGCTTTAAGATCAGATTGTGTTTGTGTTTGTATGTGTGTATGTGTGTGTGTGTGTTATATATTTAAAACACGTGCAGTAGTTTCATATGTAGAAACCAATTCGCGATTTGGAACGCTCTGTATATTCTGAATTAAGTACTGTATATATCTATGTACATTAGAAGAAGCTTCCATCCGGTGGAAGAGGCTTTATGAACTCTTTGTAGAACGCCTTCGAACTCTATTATACGTCGGTTACGGATTTGAATCACCAGCTGTGCCCCGATAAATTGAACCGTCTCTTTCTCGACCAATAGCGACGAACCTTTCCGATTTGTCCCGAGAATGCACATGACGATTACAATTCTTTATTTTACGTTAATATTCTTCTTTCTTCGAGTAAAATTATTTATCCTATCAGAGAAATAAAAAGTACTCAATTTTGTTTATCCTTTTTCTTTACTATTTGTTCCTTCGATTATTATTATTATTATTAATGTTATTATTATTACAATTTTTTTTTTTATTATTATTATTACTATTGTTGATGTTATTGTTATTAATTATTATTATTATTGTCGTTACTATTATTATTATTATTATTATTATTATTATTATTATTATTATTATTATTATTATTATTATTATTATTGTTACTATCATTGATTAACAATGAAATATTTTTAAATTAATATTTTAATTTAATATTTTTAGCTGAAAATTCAAATCCTCCATCTATGCCCTGTGGTCTTTGGGTTCTCACCGGTTTTTTGGTTTTTGTCATCGTCGAAAAAATTTTTGCATTCGATTATGATCCAGAGGAACAACAAGCAGATGATAACACGAATACATCTAAAAATATTATAGAAAATTTTGAAACTGATAAAGAAGAAATGGAGAACAATAATTGTATTAATTTGATTGGGATTAAACAAAATAATGGCTATGTTCAACATTGTACGGATAATGAACTTTTGGAGGTATGATTGTTTTTTCAAATCATTAATAAAAATATTAAAAAAATTTTTTTTTATTTATTTATTTAATATAAAAATAAATATAATAGATAATTTAATATAAAGATAAATATAATATAAAGAAATGTCTCTTTTTTGTCTATTAGATGGAACCCTTCTTGGAAAACAAACTAGTGAAGAACGGATACATGGAGATTAATAGTAATGGTGTAAAGAAACCAAAAAAAAATGGTTACTTAAAATCAGAACATACAAATGGCATAGTTTTATCTGATAATATGTCGGTCGGTAAAGTCAGCGATTGTTTGAAGAGTTTTACAAAGAACAATGGTCTCTCATCGTCATCATCTTCATTGTTGAATGGATGTATCATTGACAGAAAATGCGTATCGTCTAAAACAAAGGAAAAAGTTACTCGGCAAACTGTTAATACTGTTGTCCAAAAAACTAAATCAAAACACATAGCAGGATATCTCAATCTTATGGCAAATTGTATTGATAATTTTACTCATGGATTGGCTGTAGGAGGTTCCTTCCTCATGTCCTTCCGATTAGGCGCCCTAACGACGTTCGCTATTTTGGTTCATGAGATTCCACATGAAGTTGGTGACTTCGCTATTTTACTTCGCAGTGGATTCAGCAGATGGGATGCTGCGAGGGCACAACTTTTAACTGCAACCGGTGGAATTTTTGGATCCTTAGCCGCTATTATTTTTTCTGGTGGTGAAGTTGGTTAGTGGAATGATATACATTTTTAGTTTTCTCTTATTAATAGATTTATACGAATAGATAATTAATGAAAGTACAATTTAAAGATAACCCTTTTTTTAGTTTTCTTTTTTCTTTTCCTTTTTTTTTCTTGATAAATTTCAATTTTATATTCACAATATACTTTTTATTACTTTATATGGGTCAATTTATATGGGTTATATTAACAATATACTTTTTATTACTTTATATGGGTCATCCTGTATAATAAAATAATAAGATGAAGTTGAAAAACAGACTTTATTATATGATTATATGAACTATTTATAAATTGCGTATGTCAACACTTCATATCTTTACTGATAACTTCTACGACCTTGATTAATTACAGAAAATATTCATTCTTGTGACTATCTGCAATTCAGTATTTGAGATTTATTAAGTCAGCCTTTATATTGCTTTAATAATATATATAACTTCTTTTTTAATTATCACATTTTGTTACAGAGGCAAGGACAGGTTGGATTTTGCCATTTACGGCAGGTGGTTTCCTTCATATCGGCTTAGTAACAATTTTACCAGAACTGCTTAAAGAATCTAGTCCTAAGGAATCTTTAAAGCAACTCGCTGCTTTATTATTTGGTGTTATGTTAATGGCAATTTTAACAATTCTTTGCGACTAAGGGATATTTCATCCAAGGAAAGAAATTAATTTGAGCAAATTTATATAGAATACTAAAATCTGTTGATCATTTTATGATAGTACTTTTCTGAAGTACAACAATTTTCTATAAGAACACACTTTCATTAAATAATCTATGTATGTATATATATATACATATATTTCTATATACATATACACAGCATACACACACACACACACATATTATAAGTGACTATCCCAAAAGAGAGACTATATGTTGCCATAAAATTACATAATTTTGTTGCTTTATTAAGATAAAGTGTCATCAAAAGAAGTTGAATATTCAAGTGGAAACGACTGATGACTATACTCTTGTATATGGATACATTATTACATGCTCCAACACATAAGCTATATCTTACAAAGTTATAGGAGTTTATGTATATATATATATTAAAAGTATCCTAAAATATTAAAAACAGTTTAAATAAGCTTGAGGGAAGCACTACTTTTCAGACTCTGTGATCCTTTACAATAATTAAGAATGTGTTTACTATACGAATCATTTAAACTAACTAATATTATAGTATTCTTATAATCGAAGGAGAAGAGTGTAAATTTATTTTTATAATCTTCAAGGTTAATAACATTTCTGTATCTAAATAAATTTAATATTTTTCTTCTTATAAGCCAACCAATTGAAATGAATTATTTACATTGGCAAATTGAAATAGGTGATGTTATATATATATATATATATATAGATTGTGTTGATCGCAAACTACATTTTCAATTGAATTCTGCAAAATTGTATCTACAATATTATTATTATATGAGATGTGTAACGAATTGACGAATGACATTTCATGTTATGAAAAAAGGTGAAGGCGTGTAAATAATTTTTAATGCTTCCCCTTCTTTGACATTGAAATTAAAAAAGGGCATTTTAAATAGAACATAAAATTTTTAAATTAGATGAGATCACATATGATATAAAATTTTCCGTATATAAAAGAGAGACAGAGAAAGAAAGAGTACATACAAATATATTTAACCGTTTGCGTACCACGAGCCACTTTTGCGCATCTTCAGATTTTGTGTTGAAAAAAGCCAGGACATTTGGCCGAAACAGATAACTGACTGCCCACGAAATCGAAATTTGTTGAAATGCGCTCAGCCTTTCAGACGCATATACGTCGCATCGCTGTCAGTAATCCAATACAATATTACACGGTTATTAACAATGATAATTGCACTTTTATAACACTACGTCCAATCCTTTTACCAGTTGCAGAAAGAATGTTAGTATAAAAGAAACAAACACGAGAAGCGCGATCCCTTTGTTTACCGCATTGAACATGACAAGCGCTATCATGCTCTTTGGCTTTTTTCGATACGTAATCGAAGGATTTTTGGCGTTTTTCGATCATGTTTTGTCAAAATCCTCTGGTACGCAAACTGTTAATAAATATACTTACCCGAAAAAAGAGAGAGAGAGAGAGAGAGAGAGAGAGAGAGAGAGAGAGAGAGAGAGAGAGAGAGAGAAAGGACATATGTTTGAGTTCCTAAAAAAAATTCTATGTGAGTAAATGTTTTCAAGAAAAACCCATAAATCTATTTAAGTGAGAACGAACGATTACGTTGATGTTATATTTTGCGACGATGGGAAAATAAAATTGTATAAATAAATTGTAAACGAAAATGAAAAGTTAATGTATACACAAATTATATTATATAAAGAAATTAATAATGTAGATATGTACGATCTTTCGAGAAATAAATTTCAATACGTAATATTTTATAAAATTAGGTATATAATATATATAGCGCGCGCGCGCGCGTCATCCACACTCACACAATTTCGTTATCTATCGATAGAAAAAAAATTTAATTAAATTGATAATAATCATTATCGAATAATTTCAAATTGAATTTCTGGATGAAATAATTATATGATTATCATGTTATCGTTTGTTATTAATAAATAAGTAAATGAGTATATATACACGATCAAGATAATAGGCCTAGAGTCGTCTCTCATCATAATGCCTAGAATGTACAAATATCGTTCTCTCTAAACTCATATATGTAAACACAAGAGGAAAAAAAAAAGAAAGAAAAAAAAAAGATACACATCAAGAATTTCTTTTCAATGTAATCAAATTCATTTATATCCAAATGGTAACTTAAATTATTTTATTCAAAACGGATACATGCGAAATGTATATATAGTTTATATGTCATTGTAATTATATATGATCTAAAACAATCCTTGTACTTAAAAGGTAGAAGAACAAGGTATTCTTTTCAAAAGAAGAAAAACAACATAATAAAAAAAAATAAATAAAAAAAAAAAAAAAAAAAAGAAAAATAGAATAAACAACAAAAAGAGAAATAGAAAAAAAGAAAAATAATTAACATGGTACATGAGTGCCTTTCCAAAGCACCTGTATATACAAACCCTGTTTTAAAACATATTTCCCCACGTATTAATATTTTTTGAAAGTTATGACATAATAATGAGTCCAATTAATATATGTAATCATTAAAATTTGTAAATAAACTATATTATATTCTATCTGGTTATATTTGTATCATAATAATATCCTATATTGAAAACAATTTTGTCAATATAATTATTAGTATATATAATGAGGTAGTCGATATAACTAGATCTGCAAAATAATTTAATAAATAATTGCTCTCAAATAGTGAAAATATAACATTTGTGCATTTTTTTGTTTTTTTTTTACTCTAACATAATTTGATATTAATTATATATTAAAAACATAGTACTTTTCTATATTCTAGTTTCCTATAATTTTAAAAACATTCATACGTTGTGTATATATATAAATATGTATAAATATGTACATGTATGTGTGTGTGTCTATATATATATATATATATATGTAACAGAGTGATATTAATTTTAATCTACGAATTTTCAAAAATTAAGTCTGATTGAAAAATGTTGCAAGAGTACATCAAGATGACAAAAAATAGATTTGATAATGTCTTTAAGATTTTAACTTTTTTCTTTTTTTTTGTTTAATGTAATTTATATTAATTTTTTAACAAACGGAAAGAGAATATCACTCTGTAATATGTATATTTATATACACATATATACACGTACATATAAACATATATATACATATATATATATATATATATATATATATATATATATGCGTGTGCGTGTGTGTGTATTGTATAGTACATTTTTTTTACATTGGTCTATAATCAAAACACGTTTATAAGAAATTTCAAATTGAAAATAAATAATATATATTGTTTTTGTTTTTATAAACTTGTTTTGATTTAGACTATACGAATTACGTTATATAAAATAATCAGTCACATAGAATAATAACCTATTTACAGCCTTTATAATACATTATAATTTTTGTAGATATAAAACATAATGATAAATCTTTTGTTTCAGGATCACAATTTCATGTTCTGTTTTACAAGGGTCACTGCTTTGCACCATTAAATATTAATAAGAAAATGGTATTCTCTTTCCCTGTGTTAAACTTATTTATGATACATAATTATATTCTATCTCGTATACAAACTCCATCAAAGTTATTTACAATTCTTCATGCAACGACAATTCAAGGACTCCCTTCAATTTTTTAATTAGTTGTATCTGATTATTGATTATGTCGGCGTCATCTAATTCTACACTACCAGTTAAATTTTGATAATGGTTTAACACGTCGTTTATAACTTTTAGGAGTATATGTTTGATATAAATTTCGTTTTTACATATGGGATTAATCATAATCATACTTTCACTTACAACTTCTAATAATTCATAATTGTCAATTTCATTTTGATCACGAAGTTCATACTTGAAACTTTTGATCATTAAATCATTTAAATATTTGCAATATCCATGCATTAATAACTTTTGTTCAAAATCTGTGGTAGCATATTCTTTTGCTTTTGCATCACGTTTCTTAATATCAGAAATTTTTTCTATATCTTGCCTTTCGACGATCAAGTCATTAATAAGTTTCATAACTTTTAATTGTGTTTGTAACTGATTATTGCTCAAGATCTTTCCAAAAATTTCTAAACCACCATGATCAAACAAAGCTTTCTGAGCAGCAGGAAACTGACGTACTAAGGCACTCAATGCAAAAAGACATCTGGACTTTACCAAAATTTTACTATTTGTTGATAATATATGTAGAAGTTTCTGTATCAAATCTTTTTCTAATGCTTTCGCTTGTACTTTTGGATTAGATTGAACAGCAGCACCTAAAAGCCTTAACCCTTCTGCTTTTATTTCATTGTACGTACTATTCAGACATGGTAATATAATATTACTTATCCTGCAAATATATCAAACAATTAGCTTTTTATCCTTTAATTAAAAAAAAAAAAAAAAAAAAAAAAAAATACAAAATAATATAAGATTTCTTACCCTTCCATATCTGCAAATAAACGAGCAATGTCGATTTGATGGATCAAATATTCAAAACCATTAAGTATATCCAAAATGATTTCAATTTCTATATTCAATAAAGAAGATGTACGCATGGGATCTTTGTATAATTGAAATTTCTTGAATAAATTATTCAAAATCTCGGCATCTGTGGTAATATTAACTTTGGCCAATTTCAATTCTTCTTTCAATGTTTCATAAGCTTTCATTTTCTGCATCACTTTTGCCTGCGTACTTTCTTCCTTAAAAACGCAAATATATATATATATAATAAGATTATAAAATATTAACTATGTGTCTATGAATGTAAATTATTGCAATAGATATTTCTTATTACATTTATTTCAGATGTTAAATCAGTAACGCTTTCTTTAATCTTCTTCAATCTAGCTTTTAATTCCATAATCGAAACTTTTAATGTTTCCGATTCTTTAGTTTTTGTAGATTTCACAGATTCATCATCTTCTGATTTCAGCAATGTTTTGTCCGGGTGTAATATCAACGATTTTGAATGAGATTGATTGGTATTTTCATTAAAATCTTTTTCCTTTGTTTCCTCGTCATCCATCAATTTAGCTTCCGTAACTCCAGTTTGAAAATTATGTCGTACATGTAATCCTCCTGGTATTGGTTCACCTAGAAAAATTTACAATTAGTTATTCAATAAATATATCGTATATATGAAGGTTACATAAAGTAAATAAATATTTCAATTTGTTTATTACATATATTTTAATTATTAAATTAATTCGATCTAATATATCATTAACTCATGAAGGTTACATAAAGTAAATAAATATTTCAATTTGTTTATTACATATATTTTAATTATTAAATTAATTCGATCTAATATATCATTATTATATTTTTTCATTATCTTTAATTCATAATAATAAATATTGTCAAAGAAAATAAATGAAAATTGTTTATATTATATTAAATAAGAATACCGTTAGAGAATGAAAAAAATTTTCATTTTCGAAAATGTTAAACTCAGTTTTTCTTTTTTTTTTCATTTATTATGATAGATTATCGAACGGTCAATTCAACTGACGTGGTCTTATAAGATGTCTTATATTATCATATAACATTAATTATCAAATATCATATTAATTACCTTTTTTAATGGTTTGCCATTCACGTGATGGTACAAAAACACTTTCGTTTTTTTCCGAACGAATAAAAACAATTAAATTGAAATAGAAAAGAAATAAATAAAGTCGTATATTAGTATGCATTTTTATGGACAGATATAAAAAAAATTTGACAGCACATTAAATAAAATAATTTACAAATGGACAGATCAGATATTTAAAAATTCTATTGTTTAAATCAATGAGGAAATATTAAATCACGTATAACTGATAAAATTTTGAACAGGTGCTGAACCTAATTTAACTACTGAACGTGTACTTATGATTTTTAACGCTATGCGGCGTTAGTGTCCAACGACTTCTTAAAAACGGATAAATTTTAGAATAGAAAAACTCGATGTTGAGTAAACATTGCCCTTCGATCATCAAAATATTCATATGTAAATATGTATTGATCTTCAATTAAACATATTTCAACGTGTTAATATCCGATATAAATTTATTCAATTCAAAAAAAATTCACTTCACTGCTACCGACGAATTTAACTTAAACGAATTATGAAACAATCGAATTAATCGAATGTTACAAAGCTGTTGAATAATCGCATATACGACGTATATAAACTACTTCACTTTCATAAAAGGCAGTAATACTGTCATCTATCGACGGAAAAGTGAACTAAAACAAAAACATGGAAGTTATTCCATATTAGTTATTTTCAGCTAGGGTTTTCTGAAGTTACATTTCTGAATTAATCTACTTCCGTTTCGGAAGTTATATAAAATAGGAAATAATATAAGGTTGGTAGATCGTGATGCAACCATTTTCTATTACTATTCTTTAGATGCTCTTCTTTCATCGACGCTGTTCTTATTGCATTTCGTAAGCATTATATTAAGTAAATTATAAAAAAAGAAAAAAAGAAAATGAATTGTTTAGTAAGAAATCTGCTTCGTGGGTCTGCGATTAAAAATATATTATCTTCAACTTCTAACAATGGTTTAACGAATAGCAATTTATATCGGACATTGTGGAACATGTGCAACCGGCAGAACGATGCTATAATATCTTTTGCTGTTCCGAAAATTCAGAATTTACAAATTTACAATTACAAATGTAATAGAAATGCTCATACCAAAGGTAAATAATTTTGTTGTTAAAATTTCTTTCTACGCGTAGTAAGTTCATTAATTATGAGAAATAATTTTTATTTATTAATTAACGTTTTATCTCTTATTGTAATATTACACTTTTAGATATAATAAAAATTTTATAACATTTCTAGCCTTTGTAAATTATTTACATTTCAATAATATTTCTTTATTCAGTTTAACATTTTAATCATTAACATTACGACATGGTATAATTGTATATAATTTTGTTTATTTAAGATTATTAAAAATGTATTTATTATTAATATTATCAGCGGAGAAGGAATTAGTAGAATTCTTGGCTGAAGAAATAGTTGCAGAAAAGAAAGCTCAGAAATTAAAAACTATCCCAACAGAATTAGATGGTTTTAAGATATCTCTGGATAGCGCTGAAGTTACTCTTGAGAAGAATAATCAAGGCGAAATGTAAGAATAAATATAATGTTCAAAAATATATTAACTTATATATATATATATATGTATATATATATAACAATACAATATAAAGTAATAACTGTACATTCTAATTTCTAATGCTAATATATCTCAATTTTATAATCCTAAATAGAATTAGAGTTTCATTCAATGTAAATCATACGGTAGATACTAGTTCTGAACCAGAAATTGATCCTCAAAGTGATAATGCAGATATTGGAGAAATGAAAAGCAAACCATCATTTACCATTGATATAGTAAGAGGAAATCAAACTTTAGGATTTACATGTTCATTTAATAGCGAACCAGGAGCATCCGGAGCTGATGATAGCTATAGTAAGTAATCGTTTATTTATAGTTCATATGAAAAAATATAATGCGTTATATGAATAACCAAAGTGTTGAGTACAAAATGATGATCAGTATCATTTTGATTATTATTCTTTGGAAAATCAAATGCATTCTTATGAAGTTCTTTTATTCGTAATTGTTTGTTATGAAATATTTAAATGAGAATGTGACACTTTTGTACTATAATAAAAAAAAAAGTTACATTTGTTATTTGTTTAATAAAATAAATTTTATATTAAATTACATTTATATTTTTCAGATGACATTTTTGGTATAGACGAAATAACTTTCTACGAAGGAGAACATAGCGATAAAGTTTATGCAGTTGCTGGTGAAATTATCGATGGTGTAAGTATCTTTGTATTATAGGATATAATACTTTGCTTTTATGAATCTACATATATATTCTTTTTTTTTTTTTTTTTTTTTTTTTTTTTTTGTAGTATCTATACGATCTTTTGATGAATTATCTCGAAGAAAAGGGTATTTCAAATGGATTTGCTGAAAAAATCATCGAACTTAGTACAAGTTATGAACATACAGCGTATGTTAGTTTATTAGAAGGTCTTTCAAAATTTACCTCTAAAAAATAAGTTTCTTTATTGCTTTCTTATTTGTATTTTGCAATAGAAACATGTAATCATCATATTAAGTTCTTAAAGATTGTTAATGAATATGTATTTAAAAAAGTAAATATTTATCATGCAAATATAAATAACATCATCATGTTGTATCTTTATAAAATAGTTTATAAAAAATATTTTCATTTTGTCCTCATTATAATTGTATAATTATAATAGTAATAGTAATAATGTTATAAAGGAAAAAAAAAATAATAAGAAGTATAATTTAATAATTTGTTTTAAAACAATAGAATAGAAAGAACATTAACTGTGAGATCTTAAAATTGCTGTAGAAGTTTAATCTTTTGTCTGTATATTCAAGCAGAAATAGGAATTAAACATGTCAAATAAAAAAATTAAAAATTCATTAGACCCAATTTTTTTTTCCATTTGTCTTACTCATCTTTCCAGTTCTACATACATTGAAATATATCATTATATGTATAGTTATATTTTTCATATACGATGATGAATTATATAATAGTTTAATCAAGGTTTTAGTTTTTATTTGCATTTTATCTTCATTTATATTTTTTGTTTATAGAGGATACCGAAACAATCATATCTTTTTTTTATAAATTAATAATATCTCATTGATCAACATTTCATTTCATCGAGTTTTAACGATTACAGAATCAAACATTACATGAATGAAATTATTTATTGTCGTTTATTTTCTATTAATCTATTTTTTATTCTATTAATGTTTATAGGTAATAAATGTATTTTATTGACAACAGTAACATTTATTATTCCACGTTACACAACATTTAATATCTACGTTATTTTATAGTTTTGAAAGCTCTAACATTTTTTTTTTCTTTTTTCTTTTTTTTTCTGTTATAAAATAATATATAACATAAGCATGTAATGCGAGAGAATAATATGAAACAATTCAGTTATATAAAATAAACGTTCCTTCAAAGCATTTTTAATACAAAAATTTATTTGTATTGTTTAAAATAGAACTTAATATTATTCGTTTATTAATATTACTTTTTGGAGAAGAGTGATTTTTTATTCTGATAAATATCATATAAAATGATCTATATTTGCCTTTAATTTCATTAAAATAATATATCGAGAGAAATATAGAAAAAAAGAAGAAAAATATAAAATTACAACAAAAACGCTTTTATTCACAATTATTATTTCTATCTTCTGAGTATTAAAAGAAATTATTTAACTAATTAATATTATAATCTCTCTTATATGTATATCTGAAATATTATTTTATTTACATTCATATACTTTGGCATCCATAATATATAAAATAGTATTTCAAATATTTCTAATACCAGTTGGAAACCATCTCGATAATTGATTGAGATAAAAAATTATTAAATCACGTTTGTGTTGTTCAGTAGGATGACTAGTATCAGTTTAAAAAATAATTCAGCTATTTTAATAAAAGGAACCATCGATTTCATTTGTATTCAATCTTTATCATTAATAAAGATCGTAATGATGAAGCATCAATATAACAATAAAAATTATATTAATATAAAAGGGAGAAAAAAAAATATGTATATATATGTGTGTGTTATTTAATTCATTAAAGAAATAAAGATAATATAATTGAAAACTTGAAAGCATTGAATAAGTAATCCTCTATATACTTGCGTATATCTAAAGAATAATTTAATTTTTTAAACAATGACGTATGTACAATGTTTGACATTATTTTTATCATTCATATCTTATTGACTCGTCATTCTATAATTATCATTATAGAAATCAATAATTAATTACATATTGTGTGAATTAATGCTTCGTTATTACCTTTATTAGATCATGCGTTGAAAATACGATTTAAGTACAAAATTCAATCAAAAATGACATACGTTAATGCACTTCACTTATTAATTTTTCCTTTAAAACATTGAATATTTTGATTTTCAACAAAGAAGAAAATCTTTAAGAAAAAGAAAAGAAGAAATAATCTAACAAAAGTTTACAAACTATATTTTAATGATTCCTGATCAGTGTCACTTGGTATCCTGGTATCATTTTTTTTTCCAACAAATTCAACATTTAGAAACATAATAATATATGTATAATGTATGAAACGTGACACACGATATATGATATATGATATAATATACAGTTTAATATAATATACAATATATAATATATAATATATTATATATATATATATATGTATGCATATAGCATAGTTGTGAAATATAAGCGATACAATGGTGAGATTCTCTCAAGTCATTCCGATGTTAATTGGCGGTCATTTGGAAAAATAACTATATCTTTGGCATTTAAATAGAGGTAGAATCATCCGAATCGGTATCATCACCATCAACAACACCATACGATCCATGATTGTCATTACCTTGAGTCCAACTCGATCCTACGGCTATTTCATATCTGTTCTCTTGCATATTACTGGTTGGCACGATCCTAACGTAAGTGTTTTTAATATTGTTCATGAATTCTTGACTGATACCGGTGCTCTTCATCATTGGACTTCTTTCGCCGCTACTTACCGATTTCGATCGAGTCTTATTCTCTGGTTTTTTTTCAGCCTCGATCGATTCCAAAGAACTTTTTCTTCTGCTACCTTTTCTGCTAGATTTTGAGGTCTCTTTATTACCAGTGCCCGTTGTACTTTTCTTACCAAATTTAGGACCGTCGCTACTGTCTAAATATTTTCTGATCCATTTAGGTGTCTCACTTGAATAAGCTTGCATTCTTTTGAAATATTTCGGTGTACCTAATATAACTGGTACATCAGTTTCTATTACAGTTGTAATCACTTGTTCATTCTCATCAAAGTTACTCTCTAAAAATTTCTTCTTAGGTATACTACTAACTGAGATCTTACCAATTGAACTACCTTCGTCATTGATGTCATAGGTATAAGAATAATGGCGTTGAATGTGTTTTGGGGGTTGGATTATATCGAGATCGGGCTCATTGGCCATGATATTTTCTTTCTCTTTTTCTTTAACTTCTTCCTTATTTTTGTCCTTATCTTTATCCTTCTCTTTTTCTTTTTCTTTCTTTAATTTTTCTAAAGCTTCGTCGATAGAAAATTTGTATGGTTTCCTCGTGATATCATGAACTTTACTAGGTGAAAGTAGACATTGTCTAAGATTACCAGTAATGCTGTGTCTTTGTCTAGTCGGTGGATCTAACAAACGACGTAAACTTGAGTTTCTGATCTCTGGTACAGACATTCTTTCTCTAGGTGGTAAGACACTTGTTGATATACCTTTGATCATAGCCATTGTTGAGGTTGTAGTTATCGACGTAGATGTTGATTTTGTTCCAGGTGCTATAGATGAAATAGCCGTCGGTGAGATAGATCTAAGTGCTATCGTAGATTCGAATAATTTTCGATCACCCGGTGGCAAGATAGGTGTCGTGCTAGCGACGATAATACTTTCTAAACATTCACGCGTAGGAGTCTTCAGTTTATTAGATCCGGGATTTACAGTACCGGTAATCTCATCGAATTTGCTCTGTTGATGTTCAGAGATTGGAGAGCTAGCTATTGGTAATAATCTCGATCTTCCACTATCCTGATTACGTGTCAATTGACTGTCAAGACTGAATCTTTGTTTAGGCGTACCAGCCATCAATTTCAGATCATTCTGAGTTTCCAATTCGGGTATCGAGAATCTATCACGATTAAATTTCACTGTAGAATTAGAGACATCTTTCCAATTTCTGTACTTCCCGCCAATATCCAATTGTGATAGACGTTCTCTATGAGTGGCTGCAGAAATCGGTGAAAATCTTTTGTGCTTCATGGGAGGTGGCGATGGTGATTGTAGTATCATCGTTGGTATACCAGAGTCCCTAACGGTGGACAAACATGGTTGGGATAATCTCTGTTGTCCACGAATTGGATAATAATCGCCTGATAGAAGAGTAGGCTGAGAGAGTCTTTCACGTTTAGCCGGTACATCCTGCCGTAAGGCAAAACGTCTGACATCAGGTTGTGAAAATCTCGAGCCATTATCAGCCGTGGATATATTCTCACCGGCGCTACCACCAAGTCGATGGACATTAGGCGTTGAAAGTCTCTCCTCCTCGTTTATACTGTTGTCGCCTGAGGGTGCCCTCAAACTCGTATAAGATAAACGTGAACCACGATTCATACCAACGAAGTTGATGCCGCTGAAACTTGAATTCAAGGTCGGCTGTGACATTCTTATACGACGATCGGGCGAACCACCCCCAGATCGACGTTCGTATGATATCAACAATGTCGGTAGATTTGGTTGTGACAATCGACTCCTTTGACTCGCCGGCGAGTAACTAGGTGGACAGGGTGTAGTTGAATGTGTACCGTCATAAGTAACTGAATCTTGCGATTCTATACTCGATTGTGATTGAGGTTGAGTTTTCACTGGCGTTATATGAAGATTCGGATGAGAGAGTCGATTTTTACGACCTTGGCTAGGTTTTTTCAAGTGGTCGATAAGATTTGGCTGAGATAGGCGTATACAGGGTCGTACAGGACGATTTATGTACCACAGGTCTCGCCGGGAGTAGGGCTCGCATCAGAGGGTACCTATAATCGTTCAATTTTAACAAGAAAATATTTTATTCCTCATTGGAAAAACTTTTAATCGCCAGTCTTAATCAAACGCACAATAGATATTTTCTTATAATTCTTTGGATTAAAGTATTGTAATTTTTCTTTTTTTTTTTTTTTTTTCTTCTTACCTTCCTCTCGTAAACGGCGCATGAAAACTGGTCGTACATCTTCAAAGAATGACGGCAAGTCCAGCTCGGCTGCTCTTGCAATCCCACCATCCTTACACTCCAACCAATATGTATCCATTAGGCCTTTCCCCTGTTTATATATACACATATATATGTATATGTATGTGTGTATATTATGTATTAAAGTTAGTACATCAATGAACATTTTTTTTTTAATATTTATGATTTAATACAAGTAAAAGATGATTCACTTATGATTGAAACAGATCAATAGAAAAAAAAGAAACGTACTTTAACGTCTACCAAACCGCGATGCTCGATTTTGAATCCTCCAACAGCGTCTAAGGCCTTTTTCATTTCTAAACTAATGTGAATCCGTAAAGCTGCAAAAAAAATCACGTTACCGTGTTTTTTCATTTATTTTATTCATCATTTATTTTAAACATCTGCGTTAAAAAAAGTTCTACTCATTTATTTATTTATTTATTTATTTATTTATTTATTTTTTGTTTTTACATTAAACAAAATTTATTTTCAATTATTATTGTTAATGTTACCTTCGCCTGTTGATTCCATACGACTCGCCGTGTTTACCGTATCACCAAATAAACAATACCGTGGCATTTTACTACCCACGATACCAGCCACAACTGGTCCTGTATGTGCACCACTTCGTATTTGAAGTCGTTCACCGGGACGTTTCGGTACTTGAAAGACCGAGGAAGCAGCCAATAGATCTAAAGCCATCGTTGCAATCTCGGACACATGCTTATCACCTTTATATGCAAACAAATAATTAACAATAATATTGACACTTTATTGTTATACACGATTCGTTTATAAAATTAAATTATTATTAAATTATTAAAAAGTTATTTAACAAAAAAAAAAGAATAAACAAAAATTAAGGAAATAACAATGAATAAGAATAATTTCGTTTCATAAGACAAATGGAAGGAAACAAAAATAATTTATTAATTAATTAAAAAGTGAAATAAGAAAAGAAGAGAAAAAGGAGAAAAAAAATTTTAAAAGAAAAAAAATTCAATAATTTTATGAAATAATATTTTGTACCATTTCTAACTGGCAAACCGGAAGCAACCATATAAGAATCACCAATGGTTTCGACCTTGTAAACGTCGTAACATTCGATACGGGCATCGAACAATTTGTATATCGAATTGAGAAACGTGACAACCTGAAAAAGGAACAAATTTTTAAGAATTAAATAAAACGTAAACATGAAATATTGATTATATCATTAGGGATCTCTTATTATTTTTATTCGAATTTATGAATATTTGAGTTTTGGAATATCCATAAAATTTATATTAAAATATCTGAATATATATTCGGATATTTGTTTATTGATCGACTAACGTCGAAGAGTCAAATCTTCTATGAAAATGCAATTGATATCATTTTACGACGTAAATTTAGAAAATTTACTATTAAAATGTGTTTACCCAAATTCTTGATAAATAAATAACTAATTTACAACAAAGATCTGATTACAATTCAAACGATTGTAATAAGATAATACAATTCGCAAATCAATATTTCTAATTAGTTTATTCTCCTTTTCGTTCTTGTATTCTCGTTACAAGGATCTCGTATTCGAGTCAGATAAAATTAAACAAGAAAAATTATAGAAACATTATTTTCTTTTATTGTTTAAAAAGAATAAAATATTATTCATGTAATATACCACCTGTAATAAATGATACGTCTTAGAATATAAGAGACATATATATAAAAAACTATTTTTTAGATTTCATATCCAGAAAAAAAAAATAATACCGTAAAGTATGTTCAAAAGTATTTATTTTATAATTTGAGATGTTTATTTAGCGGAACCGTGCTAATTCTGTACAATTTGATTTCACCTGATATGGCGAAAATTAAGAGAAATTAAATTTTCAAAAACCTTTTACCTTTAGAAAAATAATATCATCAGCAAGTGCGCTTACTTTAATTGCGGGAGTAATATTGTAAACGTAATTATATCATGTTTGCGTCCCTGGAAAATATATAAGTAAACTTGTTTTCTTATATCAAAATAGTAAGTCATTATTTTGACATATAATAATAATTAAATAAAATATTAATATATTAATCTTTTTAAATTTCTTGTATTATATCGTTTTACTTTCCTTCTCATCGTAATAAGAATCTAAATGAAGGAGAGCTTTTATATATATTTTTATATATAAAATTTTTATATATACTTTTATATATATTTATATATATTTTATATATATATATATAAAATATATATATATATATATATATATATATATATATTTGGAGTAATCACTATACAAGATTTGGACGAAACCGGAGCCACTTGAATACTCGGATTTAAATCCAAATATACGAATACTTAGATTTGAATTTTGAGTCGTAATATTCGAGTAATTGAAATATTCGAATATTTAGATACAGTAAGAGTTTTAATTATGATATCACGCGGATGATCATACTTAGACATAATCGAGCTTTTTAAATTAAACAATATCACACGTTAATTGAAAGAATTTTTTTTTTTAAAAGCACTGTACCTCGAGTGGTGTATTTTCAGCGGCAATTTCAGTAAATCCAACGATATCGCTGAAGTAAACGGTCACTGCTTCGTAATATTCAGCTGGCACCTTGTACGTAGTAAACCTTGATTTATTAACTTATTCGTAAATCAAATATTTTTGGTGTTTTTGTTTTTCTTTTCTTTTCTTTTCTTTTTTTTTTCTTTTTTCGTTATATCAAATCAAATTAATATACCTGTTGAGTTTGTTTTAGTTGTTGAGCTACGCTAGGTGGTAACATTTGAAAGAGCAAAGTGTCGCTCTTTCTCTTCTCTCTCTTCAATTCACGAGCTTTTTGCGCTAAATTGGCAGCATACATCTACAAAGTTGATATCGTTTGAGAAATGTACAAGTTTAAACGTATAGATCTTTTTTTTTTTTTAATGTATTAATGAAATGAAACTTTAACTTAAAAAAAAAAAAAAAATAGAAAAAAAAAGAAAAAAAAAAGAAAAAAAATTTATTTTACTAATTAATTTTACTCATTATGAATCACATTCTCTCTCTCTCTCTCTCTCTCTCTCTCTCTTTCTTTCTCTTTCTTAGTAAAATTAACTTACTTGAATGGTAGCCACTGCATTGCGTACTAATATTATAATAATAGGTGAAACAACTAGGACCAAAACAACAATGGCTATACCAGCAACCTCCTTATTACTGGCATCTTGCAAAGTTGAATTAACATAATCTCTGAAAAAAAGAAAAAAAAAACGATATATATTTCGTTATATCATTGCCATAAATGATCGTGACAAAAAAATAAACAAAAAAAAAAAAAAGAAAGAAAAAAAATTTACCGTATCATATGACGTAATTCGCGTTGAAGTTTACGTAGTTCATCGACGTAGGTCGCCATTGAGTCAAAATAAGCAATGGCGTCTTCCACGCTAGGCTCTCGCTTTCGATTCCGAAGAATTTCATCTCGCCTGCGATTAAAAAAAGAAAGGGGGCGAAAAAAAAAATACAAATTCATTATTTTCATTAATAGTAATAATATAATAATAATTATTATACATACAGATATATATATGTATCTAATTATTAAATAATATTAGACATTTTCTAACGAATCTTTTTTGCTCTTAATAATAATAATAAGTATTATAACAATTATTAGAAAAATAACAATTTAAAAATTAGTTCGAAAATTTGGAGAAATACTGACTAAACTGATTCTGAGAAACGAGAATAAATAATATTGATAATATAATAATATAATAATATAATAATATATTTGTATAAATATATAAAATTTATACAAATTATAGCTAGACAGGAAGATAAATAATAATAATAATTATTATTATATATATATACATTATATGTCTGATTTAAATATATATGAGTACGTGTATGTGCGTGTGTATATGTGTTATACATACCTAGACTTGATCCTGCCATAGTCGGACATTGTTCGAGTAAGGTCGATATAAAAGTGTTTTAAAGAAGGCACATATGTGAGGGATCCGTTCAACAGATCTCGTCCTAGAGCTTCATGACGTACATAACTAACATAGTTTTCTCCTAAAAGTATTCCACGTCCAAAATAATTGATTCCATAAACGGAAGCGATGCCAAGACTTTCGATGCTTCGTAATAGATTTTTGAAGGCTATCAAATATCTGTATATAAAAAGAGATATGTATGTATTTATATAGCTAGACGTATTATATAAAATTATGTACATATTGTATGTACAATGATTGTCAAAAGTAAACCAAAAAGAAAAAAAATATAATCAGTAACAAATATTCATTTATGACTGTTGATACTTCGTAGTAGATTTGTTAATGTTATATGTTAACGATAATGTCAAATAAATTTTATATAAAATAATTTATAATATAAAGGAGATAAAGATGGATCGAATAATAAAGGAAAAAGAAGACAAAAAAGAAATCAGAGAAATAATGATAGAAAGAATACTACTTTGCCGGTTTTGTTGTACAGCGTGACCCAAAAGTTTTTAGATGGTTTTAAAAATCAATTATACTTTTTCCAAACTTTTTAAGCTAATTTTTTTTCTTCGGATTGTACGACTTTACAAACTTAACTACAAGGTCAAAAAGTTTTGAAAAAGATTGATAAGTTTTTAATACCATCAAGAAATTTTTGGCCCATATTAGAAACTTTTGACCCACTCTGTTTATTGGTTTAATTAGGGGTTCTTATTTTTTTCTTTTTCTTTTTTTTTTTTTTTTTTAATAACGTAATAGAATTCTTTATATTTTTTGTATCAATAGTTCCAAACTTTTGACACAATATTGACTACTGTAGTAATAGTAAACAGTAGTAATAGTAATATTTTTTACAAATTTGCTACTAAATAATACAACGATTGTTTGAATATTATGAAAATTTAATTGGAAACAAAAAGAAAATGAACTTACGTGACGCTTCCATTGAGAATCATTATCTAATATCGGAGTCAATATTTAAAAAAAAAATAATTGTTCCAATATTTAATATAAATGTGAGTTATTAAATTTAATAAGAAGAAGAAAAGAAAGAATAAAAGAAAGACAAAAAGAAGGGCAAAGAAAAAAGGAAAGAAAGAAAAAAAAATTAATTAAATAAAGAAAAGAACTCGCCTCCATACACCGCTGTTATCTGTTTCCTTGATCTGATTGGTCAAATGATCTAGCATGGCGGCATTTACGCTTGTGTACCAAGCCATCACCTCTGTTATACTACTCTCTTCCGAGCTTATTTTCTGTCTGAAATATAAAAATGCAATTATTCCTTATATATTTTTTCATTCTTTCCTATTTTTGCAAAATATAAACATAAATAAATAAATAAGAAAATAATTACCTAATAATAATAATAATAATAATAATAATAATTATTATTATAATAATAATAAATAATAATAATAATAATAATAATAATAATAATAATAATAATAATAATAATAATAATAATAATAATAAAAAGAAAGAAAAAAGAAATTATATATTTTCTCTCTCTCTCTCTCTTTATGCTACTCTTTGAACATAGGTATATTCTTTTTCTTTTTTAATATTTCGTTTCAATAGAGAAAGAGAGAAAAAGAGAGAGAAAGAGAGAGAGAGAGAGAGAGAAAGAAATTCCATCAACGATACAATATTGTCCTCTATTCCGCCGTATTGAAAGCTATTTGCCAAACTCTTTACAAGAGACAAAGAACAATATATATATACGTATGTGTATGTATTGAAATAGAGAGAGAGAGAGAGAGAGAGAGAGAGAGAGAGAGGGAGGGAGGGGGGGGAGAGAGAGAGAGAGAAAGTCTAAAAATACATCCAAGTGCTCCAAATGAGCGGTCACGCGCTCATGCGTGACAACCTCATCATGTATACATATACATATATATACATATATATGTATATATATATATATATGCATATAGTAGATAGTAAGAAAAATGGAATGAGAAAAGCTCCCGAAGGAGTTTCTTTGAGAGAATTTATTACACCTTCGTGGGTACTTAGCCCTGATCTACTGTCAATATGTACCATCTTCTTTCTTGTCATACCTAACAATGAGATCTTATCATTTCTTCATTCTGTTTCTTTCTTTCTTTCTTTCTTTCTCTTTTTCTATCTTTACTTCTCTTTCTTTCTTATTCGAAGCAACTTGAAGATACTTAATGATCTGTTACCACTTTGCTGTTCTCTTTACGGCCTCGTCAACGCCATTCCATTATCTTTTTTCCTCCCTAGACATGCGCGCGCGCACGTGTGTGTGTGTGTGTGTGTTGTATGTGTGTGCACACGCATGCACATGTATATGTGATGCATGCACGCATATATCTATGTATGTATATATGTATATATATATGTAGGTAAATATATGTATATGTATGTATATATGTATGTATATATGTAGTAAATATTTATGTATGTACATATGCACGTAAATGGAAATTAATAACCCGTCCCGCGCCATATTGATATTTTGTCTTTTTTTTTTCTTTTTTATCTTCTTCTTCTTTTTCTTGTTCTGTTTCTTTTACTTCTTCTCTTTCTCCTTTTTTTTTCTTTCTTTTACTTTCTCTTCCTCTTCTTATTCTTCTTCTTCTTCTTCTTCTTCTTCTTTTTTTTATTTTTCTTTTTGCTCATCGATATGAAGAATTTATCAAGACGAATATGACGTCTAATAACGAAAATAACTTTCTATCTGCGGTAAAATTTAGTCAACGATAATAATGTTCGATATCTCTACAATGAATTTTTATCGATGTAGAAATAATTTCGATTTATGGATGAATTTCGATCGATGTTAATCGATCTCGATTGATCTATGGTGAAATTCTAACCTAATGAAAGTTTGGTTGGTATGATATCGGATAATATCGTTCAATGAAATTAATATCGATCTACGTAGAATATTTGTTTAAAGGTAAAACTAATTTGATGGACAGATCTACAAAGATTAATAATCAATGAAAATAATTGACTATACGAAGTAGTATTTCGTCAATGGAATATTTTAATTTTTCTCCGCAAATACGATCGATTCATCGATCGATGATACAATGGAAAGTTAAAAAAAAGTAACAAAATCTTTAAAAGAGATTTATATCATATATATATATATATATATATGTATATAATATGTGTGTATACACATACGTAATAACACAGTTACGTAATAAAAATAAAAATTGACTGATGATTGTGATACTACTGTAATCGAGATACGAGTGAAGTTTGTATTCTCATGGCCAACGAAATGTAGATCGTGTTTGACAAGATGTGAAAGATGATATTCGGAACTCTCGTCCACGTCGCCTATGATAGGCAGAATTTTCCATATCGATACTTTATCGTCCTATCGATTTATTGGCTATACGTGCCTCTGCTGTGAAGCCGAGCAGCTTTTTCATTCCGGCGGAATGAAAAACGTGCTTTCTATAAATATTCTCCTATGGGGTATACTATGGTTATACTATTATCGACTCTTGTATTATTTCTCTTTGACTACTTATATTATACGTTATAATATTGTTATGTATTGTTTTAGAAACAAATTTTTACTCGTTTATTTGTAAATTTAATTAATTAATTTTTTATTGAATTTTAATGTATCATATATAATCATAACCTATCAATTCATAATCATATATATATATATATATGATTATGGAATACGGTATGATATGTACTAATTTTTTTGCTATCTGCTATTATATTATATATATATATATATATATATATATATATATATATGTAATATTATAGTAGTACTATTTATATATAATATATAATATTAGATTATATATACATATACAAACAAGAATATATATACATATATATTCTTGTTTGGATCCTATTCTTTGTTTTTTTTAATAGCACACACTATACCATGTTCAATTATTAATTTCCTTTATTAATCAAAATACGATAATCATGATTTTACAAAAAGAATATAAAATGATTGAGAATCATTCTGGTTTACTTGCATTATATTCTTTCTCATCTTTATCGATTATTATAACGAACTTCGTTAAGATATCTCGTCGATTAAAATTTATAAAATAAAAAAAAATCTCACAAAACTTATTTGATTTTAGAATCATTACTATAAACTATTTCAAATTATATTTCATATTTTTATCGATTATATATTACTACATATATATATATATATATATTTCTTTTCTCTTTTATTATTATTATCATCGAACTTTATTTTATATTATTTTGTATTCGTTGGAAACGATGTGTTTAACATGAACCAATGAAAAAGTCCGGGAAAATTCAAATAATAATTATATTTTATGCGTAATATAAACAATAATGTTGAAAAATAAAAAAAAAACAAAAAACAAAAAAGATGCGAAGAGAGATACGAATATAATGGTAATGAGATGGTAATGAAAGATACGCCATCGTGTCTTTCCATAAAGTATTTTAAGTAGAGTACTTAAATGAGGTCTAACTTCGATCGTATTTTAATGTCCGCCATAATGGTTGGTGATGTAGAAGAGAAGTGTACACACACTTGTACTATGAATGGAAATTCAACAAGTGTCGGAACGATGACTCGAGAGAACGCTACCTCTTCTTGTAATTTTCCATATATTATCGAATATTCATTTTGTTCTACGAACGAAACAAAGAATTTATTCGAATGATTATTTTTTTTCTTTTCCTTATTACAATTTTACATGTAATCAAATTAAAATAGTATCCTCTACAAAGATTAATTTAATAATCAATAATTATATACAAATCATGATTAATAATCAAAACGATAAAAATCTAACCTTAATATTTCGATTTAATTAATTCTATAACGAAATTATTAAAAAATTTATTCAAATGATATTTTTTTTTTCTTTTCATTATTACAATCTTAGATGTAATCAGATTAGAACAGTATTCTCTACAAAAATTAATTTAATAATCGATAATTCTATACAAAGCATGATTAATAATCAAAATGATAAAAATCTAATCTTAATATTTCGATTTAATTAATTCTACAACGAAATTATTAAAAAATTTATTCAAATGATATTTTTTTTTCTTTTCATTATTACAATCTTAGATGTAATCAGATTAGAACAGTATTCTCTACAAAGATTAATTTAATAATCAATAATTCTATACAAAGCATGATTAATAATCAAAACGATAAAAATCTAACCTTAATATTTCGATTTAATTAATTCTACAATAAAACGGTTTAAGAATTTATTCCAATAATATTTTTTTCCTTTTCAATATTATATATAATTAGATTAGAATCGTAATCTTACAAAGATTAATGTGATGATTAATAATACTATAGAAAATATGATTAATAATCAAAATGATAGAAATCTAACCTTAATCACGTGACTAATTTGCCAATTCCACGTAATATCTTAATAAGCAATTTATTAATTAGAAGTTATGTACGATTGGAGTGTCACGCATTAGTTTATCTACATATATACATATGAGTGTATCGCTTTTACACAAAAGTACATCTAAGAATAAGATACGAATTAAAACACGTTTTAGAAAAATTTTAATTGAATTCGATTAAATTTAACTAATTACTATTAATTCGATCAACAGTATAGCGAATAACAAAACTTTTAACTGTATACCATTATTAACGTACAATTTCGTAATATTCATAATCATTTAGAAAAGATTACATATAGTATAGAAATATAGGTTATATACATTCTCTTAGCTTATTTTCATCAATATTTTATTTCTTCCATATAATGTAAAGAATTTTTAAAATGATTATTGATATCACGAAAATATAGATTAAGAACGACACACAGCTAAAAGGATAACTGTTTGCTATACTGCTAATCGAGTTAATCGTCGATTAAAGTTAACCGAGCTTGCTCGAATTGGCCCTTAAAGCATTACTCTTCTTTGACGTCATAACCAATTATACATACATAAACAGGATCAAAAGTTCTTAGGTCGGCGAAAAGTTTTTAGATGATTTAAAAAATTAATTACTCTTTGTCGAGACCTTTTGGGCTAATTTTTTTTCTTTTTCTTTATGAAAATATTACGAGCGAGGTTTGTAACATTTGTTACAATCTAAAAGATAAAATTATTCTCGTACTATTAGAAAAAGATTAATTGATTTTTAAAATCACTTGAAAACTTTTGGCTCACTTATCCTGTATGTAAAAAACAAAACAAAACATAAAAAAAAAAAATAATAATAATAAAAAAAAAATTCAATATTTTTTTTCATTTTGGCTTCGAATTTTATCAAATATCATTTACAATCGTAGTCAATTATTTTCCTTCTTAGTTTCTCCTTTCTATTCTATCAAAATAAACAAAATTTTGTTCTAGATAAAAAAATAAAAAGAAAATTCTGTAATACATTTTTGAAAAAAAAAATTTAGTAGCTTTGATTTACCTGAAATCCTCGAGCCGTGCTTGAAAGGCTTCCTTGCTAACAACATCGTATGTTTGCGTCTTGCTTTCGTCTCTTGGGACGGAAACCAAGGGCCAGGTTGTCATATTATGCAGAGCATGATCGGTTATAGCGAATCTTTGCGTCAGATTGGACCTTCGAAAAAGATATACAAGAAAGAAAAGAGAAAGTTAATGTGAGCCAATATAAAAAACGAAAGGGACTGAGGCGTGTCGAATTAAAAAAAAAAGAAAAAAAAAGAAAAAAGAAGAAAAAATAAAAAAAATAAAAGAATAAGAAAATAGCTGTAATAATGACGTACAATATATTAAGGATACTAAAAGAGTTATGCTCATTATATATATATATTTTTTTTTCTTTTTATTAACAAAAAATTTTTCATTTAATAAAAATAAAATTTAATTTATAATTAATTTTGCGTTAAGCGGATAAAATTTTACTATGTGTGTGTGTGTGTGTATGTATATATAATATATATAATATATATAATATATATATATATATATATATATATATATATATATATATATATATGTAAGCGCCCGCATGTATGTATATGTGACTTATCATTTCCACTTGGCTAAGTTTTTCTTTTATTTATTCATTTTTTTGAGAGGGGAGATTATATATTGTCCCTAATATGTCCTTCACTATCGTACGTATTTAAATTAAAAGAATATTTCCTTTAATTTGCAAAGAATAAAAATAAAATAGTTATTATAACTTTTAAAAATATTTTTTTTTTACTTCCACATTGCAATTTAAACTTTTGTAATTTAAACTTTACGTGTTTATTGCTTTTCTTTGAAATACTTTATTTTTATATTTTTCTTTTTTCATCTTTAAAATTATAAAATAGTAATTACTCGTATCGTGTATTTGTAATTATTTAGGAATAATATTTTTTACTTTGTCATTTTAAAAGAACATGCATAAATATATTTTTTTAAATAATATTTTTAATACATATAGTATATGTCTTATATTTTAAATGATAATATATATATATTAATAAAATATAAATAAAATAAAATTTTTAATATATGTTATATATATATATATATATATATATGATGTATTAAAAATAATAATAAAAGAAATATTTATAAAAACAATAAATCTAAACAATAATTATACATAAAAAAAAAACCTGACACTTTTCACTTAAACGAAACTCACTGAACTGTTAAATAAAATATGAACGATATTTTGTATGGTTTAATGGATAATAAAAAAAAAAAAAGAAAAAAAAAAAGAAATAATGAAAAGATAAAAAAAGGCAATATAATAATTGATTTATTGGCGAAGAAACGATTCGAAAAGAAAAAAAAGAAAAAAATCAAAAACAAAAAATATATGTAAATATTCTCGTTTCAATTGACATCGTAAATTATTTAATCAATCTCGATGATTAACACGTTGCTCGCGCGAAAGAATCGAAGCAGAAGGGTCGGGTCAATAAAGCACGATTCACTGATCGTGAAGTTTTAATCGAGTGTAGGGCCTTCGACGGTCCAATATGCATCATACGAATCCAATGTTTACAGATTGTGAGATAGAAATTCTACTTTGAATAGAAATCGATCAATAAGAAAACCGTTTTTACATTTTCCATTTTGTCTTCGTTGAAATATTATCGAAAAATTTTTTTTCTTATGAACAATTATTACTTTTTCTTTATCATTCAAGAAGACAATCATACATCTTTTATTTAAATCTCATTATAATAAGAATTAATAATAATCATTAACTTTGCCTTAAAGTTAAAATTTTAATCACACGAAGTTTTTTTTTATAAACAATTATTATTTTATCATTTAAATGCATTTATATCTTTTAATTATATAGAAATAATAATAATAGTAATAATAATAATAATAATAAAGATAAATAAAAATTGTACAACACATACAAACAAATAAAAAAATTGTACACGTAATAATGTAATTTGTATTATATAAAATAAAATAAAATTCTTATGTGTCTTTACTGATGTACACAAAAATTTTAAAAACTATAAATAAATATGATATTATCGAACCTATATCAATTAAATATATTATTTTAGTCTGTTTGTTTAAAAATTATTAATATAATAAAAATGTTATATATACACGTACATACATATATAATATTAAACTTAATAAATTATAAAGTAATATGGAAGGATGTTACATAATAATCAATGATATTTTATATAATAAATTAAACATTGTTTTTGATGACATATAAAAAAGTATAAATAAATATTATAATATTTTCAAAACAATTCATTTAATTAAGCATATTATATTTCAGACAATTAGTTTAAAAAAAATTTTTAAATATTAAAAACAATGTTATATATACATATATTTATTTATAATATAATAAAGAATATATTAGTATGTATATAAAAAAAATGTTATAAAATAATGTAACTATTATATGTAATAAATTAAAAACTTTGTAATTAGTATGTCGTATGAAGAAAATTAAAAAACAAAAAAAAAATAAATAAATATATAAATAAATATCATAATAATTGTTTTAGAGTAATTTCACTTAAATCTGTTAATTCAATATGTTTACTTCTTAACTAAATGTATTTTTTATTTTGAAGTATTAAAGTATTAGTACGATAAAGTATAAAAAGTAGTATAAACGAATGCAGTAGTAGTAATTAATGATGTATTTATTTTTTGTATAACAATTCATAAAAAGTAATATCAAAGAAATTGAAAAATAAATTTAATTAATGATTAATGCAGTTCATAGTGCTCTTTTTTTCTTTTTTATTTCTTTTTTTTTTGCTTAAGGAAAATAAAAAGAGATTGCAATGGTGTCGATTAAAATTCATTGAAGGTTCCATTTGTTTTCATTCGTGGACGCATTAAAGGTTTCGTTTTATTCAGATAAAACTATTCCTTCCATTCACGTGAGTCACGTATATACAGAAGAGATCAAGCGATCAGTAAGATTTTAAGTGAAATGGTAAAAATATACAAAGGTATACATGAAAACAAAAAAAAAAAAAAAAAAAAAAAAGAAAATTAGGTCGTTTTTAAAGATTTCAAGTTTACTAAATAACTACGAGAAAAAAAAAGAAAGTAAAAGTAGTATCTTATTTTTATTAATAATACGGAATCAGAATATTTCTTTCAACGGTTTCTTTTAAAAAGTATTAAGAATTTATAAAAAAAAAAAGAAAAGAAAAACAAAAAAATTGTTTTTCCCGTATATATCTATAATACGTGTGTGTACATTTAATGAATAACGAGGAAGAGAGAAAATGAAAACAAATAAAAAATGAATAAATAAAATCAAGAAGAAACAATTTCATCATTTTTGTTTTGTTTTAATTATCAATATAGATCTATCAGAATAGAGAGATAAAATGTTTTTCTTTCAACAATTTGTTTAAAATATTTAAGAATTTGCAAAAAGAAAAAAACCAAGTGCGTTTATATTTCATATATATATATATATATATATATATATATATATATATATATATACTATATATATACTATATATATATATATACTATATATATATACTATATATATATATATATATATATATATATATATACTATATATATACTATATATATATACTATATATATATACTATATATATATATATATATATATATATATATATATATATATATATATATACTATATACACAGGTATGTTTGGTAAATAATGAAATAAAAATATGAATATATTTTACCATGTTTTAAAATATAGATTTATGTTAAATAGAAAACTATTTCCTCATTAAAATTTTTCAGAAATTTTTACAAGAAAAAAAAAAAGGAAAAGAAATTATTTTTATAAAATCAAAAAAAAAAAAAAAAAAAAGAAAAAGAAAAAAAGGAAAGAAATTCCGATAAAATTTATTTTTAAATATCCTTGAACTATATTTATTTACTAAATATACATATACTCGCGAAATTTGTTAGTCGTTCGAACAAATCTATAACTAAACGATTTCATAAGAAAATGTAATTTTAATGTAAATCAATAAATGTTTATAAATAAATACCTTAAAGTGCTGCCATTGGTATAAATAAAGAATGCTACTTCGGATCTTTCGAGTTGCATCCTGGTCACCACTTTGCCCAAATCTGTAGCTATGGTTACCTATATCGATAAAAGATATATATATATAAATATAATTGTGTGTGTGTGTGTATACATACATATATACATATACATGTATATGTACATGTATATATATATATATATGATGTTTGTGGTTATAATCGGTCAATACCACAACTACGTAATTGCAATTACGTTATCATAATTACATTACATTATACAACAAATGAATATTTTCATTATTCAATAAACTGTTGTTAAAAATCTATTAATAATGTATATATATATATATATATATATATATATATATATATATATTATATATATATAATACATACAATGAAATATTCATTTATTAATATCTATACATCGAGTGTTTTATTCCAGTTTGCAATAATATTACGTATGAAATGAACTTTTCTGCGAATTCATTTTACTGAATAATTGTCATCTCTTTCTCTGCAAATAGACGTTTTATATATTATCTAATTTTTATAATATTATTTATATGCCGAAAAGTTCTGTATATGAAAAAAAAATTTTGCATCAAGATATTGCAATATAATTGATCGAAGTATGTAAACATTTGTTTACAGAACGTTTTATATTTTTTAATTTAATATTATATATATGTATATACAAGGTGGGAAAATAATTTTAATCATCTTGAATATCTCCGTTTTTTTTTCAGAAATATGAAAAAAATCTTATGGTACGGAAGAGACCATAAAATGGCAATTTTTTTTTTTAGGTAGACTCATAAAGGTCATATAAATGTCAACCGAGTTTTTTTTTAATGGAATCATGGGTTTTTGATTGCATTAATCGATGCAGCTTGACATTCTATATATAACAAAAAAATTTAATATTAACCCATGTATGTTGAAAAATTATTAATTTAGGAGATATTTCAATTATATCCTTATTACAAAAAAAAAGTTTTTCCTTTTATTAAGTTGACGACTACCAATAGATTTTTTATCCTTTATCTTAAATAAACAATACAAAATTTACATAATTGTAATAAAAATTTAAATGATTTCATTATAGTTACGTTTTTATTACCGAAAAAAAAGTATATATTTATATATACACATTAAATTCAATCATAAAAATTATTAACAAAATCGATTTTATTATAACGATATTATTACGATATTAAGATAAATAAAGAATGAATTACACTTGAAAACGGCATTTCTTTCAAGTCTTTACGATTTTTCATTTCGAAGACATCGCTATCGAAAGATTTCATTCATAATTTAAATACTACAACTCGTTCGTAAGTAATAGTAAATAGTTAGTAGAAGCAATAGTAAGGATACGTAAATTCTCGGAATTTTTTAGATCAGTGTGTCATTAAGCAAATTTGAATGAAATTATATAGGTCAGTCAATATAAATGTCAATATAAATGTTTTCCATTTATATGGAAATATTTCCAGAATTAAAAATCATAGAGACACGAATCAAACATCATTTTAAAGAGTAGAATTTTCTCTACTTTTTTTTTTTTTAAATATTGTTAAAAATTAATTAACAATTTGTTATGAACAATTTTTATAAATAATTCCTTATGGACTATAATTTTGTCTTATTTTTTATAAAATACGAAAGAAAAATACATTCAGAGTTATAGAATTATATAAAAATTGATAAATAATTAATAAATATATTCTTTTTTTTGATCAAAGAAATAATTATTAATAATCATATCTTCAGTTTACATTGATATATATAAATATATACGGAACTTTATATTACTCTTTCACAGTTATCTAAAGTGATTTTTAATACGTTATATTTTGATAAATAAATTGTAAGTATCGTGACAAAATTCTTCTACATTATTATCTGTATTTTTTTTTTTTTTATTTGTTTCTCTTTTTGTATTTATTTTCAAATTTAGTTTTAGTAATATTTTTTATTAGACAATATTACAAACTAAATGAATCTTCGTACGAATGTACGGAGCCTAATTGTATTATAATTTTTGTTTATCGGTACATTAACTTCGATGTGAGTGAAATGAAATTAAAAATGAAGAAATTAAGAAATAAAAGAAATAAATAAAAGAAAAAAAGAGAAATAGAAGAAGAAACAAAATTAATTAATAGAAAAATTATAAAATAAAATAAAAAAATGGGAAATAAATAAAAATTTCGACAGCTATATAACTGTATTCTAACAGTTGTATGACTGTATTCTAATGGATCTTTTGTGAAATTAACTCTGTTTACGTACGTGCTACATGCACTTTGGAAAGCATCGCGACTAATGGGTGGAGTTCCCTAGTCGATGTAACTTCCGAAAGGGAAGGGAACTAATTGTAAAGCACATACTGAAAGAGAGAGAGAGAGAGAGAGAGAGAGAGAGAGAGAGAGAGAGAGAGAAAGAGAGAGAAAGAGAGAGAGAGAGAGAGAGAGAGAGAGAGAGAGAGAAAGAAAAAGAGCGGACAGGATAGAGTACCGGATACTTTTATGGTAGGCTGAAGTAGCATGTTGAAGTAAAATTGCTTTGTCAATATTTATTACATAGATATATATATATATATATATATATATATATATATATATATATAATAAATGCACTTCTCTTGTATCGAATTACTATTTGAGAAACATGATTACTAGGAGTAGAACAGGAAAGATAGGAATATATATTATATATATGTATATATATATATATATATATATATATATATATATAATATATAATATATCACAATATCACATACATCATGTGCCTATACATACAGGATTTTTCTTTTTTAAATTGAAGCACTTAAATATTTAGAGAATTAAAATAGAAAAAGAAAATTGTTCATAAAAAAAAAAACCATAAGTAATGACATTAATTAAATAATAGAAAAAATTGTTATATTAAGCTTGATTTTGCATGATTTACATGTAAAAAGAAAAGAAAAGAAAAAAAAAAACGAAGTATTTTTATCGTCTATCATCGAAGTAAACTTTCCAGAAGGAAAATTTCATGAAATTTGTTCTGAAATTTGTTCATAGTTAAATTATTCAAAAATGAGTAACACATCAAACTCGAAGGCACTTATGCGTGTACCGACAATGATGATACTGATGACGAAGGAAACTAAGTTTGATAAGCACGAGAACGAGGACATCGATGCATTTATGCTTTCCTATCTTTCCTGTTCTACTTCTAGTAATCATGTTTCTCAAATAGTAATTTGATACAAGAGAAGTGCATTTATTATATATATATATATTCGACGAATAATTATCTTTATTTTAAAATGTGGCATTATAATATTGTTATTTAATATTATAATTTTATTTTTATGCAAATATTATTTTTAGAATTATAGCATCGATAGAATTTAATAAATTAAATAAACTATAACAATCAATGTTTTTTTAATGAAATACAATTTTTTGTTTTTCTCCTCTTTTTTTTTTTTTTTTAACTTCTTTTTTTATCCTCCAATAAAAATTACCAATAGAGCATGCAATATTTCCAATAAAAAAATTATCAATATGTGGCGATAATGAAATTATTAAATTTTTTTCAACATTATTCATATCTACAATACGAATTTTTATAAACAATAAAATTCATTTATTCATTCATTTTATCTTTTCTTTTTTTTTTATCCTTACATAAAAAATTATTCTCCGATGAAATATATCATTTAAAAGAAATGAAATTTTTTAATAAAATGTTAAATCTGATATATATATATATGGAGATATGTTCGATAATAAAAAAAAAATATACTTTTCTTCCTTTTCTTTCATTGCGAGATAAAAATCATAAGTCATTAAAAAATATACAATTATAGAAGTAAGAACGATGGAGGAATGAAAATATCTTTAATATTAGAACTAATGTTGGTAGTATTATGTCCACTTTATCGAGTATGTACATACATATATAGGCGTGGAATATTTACCATTCACTCGTTATTTTTAGTTGGTTCAATCGATATCTAGGAATTACTCCTATTCTGTCTAATTGTATGCTATATATACACGATTATCTACCCTTCACCTCTTCGTCTCTGTTATATGACACCATGCATACACATACGCGCATGCACATCTACATAAGTTCGTTAAGATACTCTCTACGTGTATAATAGTAATTAGACATAATTGCCAATTTAGTTGGTTCATTATCGATTTGTTTGCGAAGTTAGTCTCGTATTTTTTTGTTTTCCTTTTTTGTTTCTTTTTCCTTTTTTTCTTTTTTTTCTTTTTTTTGCTTATCGTTCTTTCATCTATTAACGCATTGGAATTAAAATTCGATATGATTGCGAATGAATTAAAAAGAAGAAAAAAAAAAAATAATGAAAAAGAGAAAGAAGAGAAAGGAAATATTAATAACACTTGGACGTGGTTTTTAGAATGAAATTTCTTTTTTTCAATTCGCGACTTATAATTAAAAAAGGAAAAGAAAAAGAAAGAAAAAATAATTCGTTTTCGTTTCGTGACAAGGATAAGAGAATATAAAAATGTGCCTTTCAAAATCTTTTCAAATTTTTTTTTAAAATCACTTTTATACGTGTTAATGCAAAATATTCAATTGTAAAATCGTAATGAAATATCGTACATTGTCCCTTCAGAATTTATTTATTTCATATACTATTAATAATTTTGAAAGTAATTACAGTTTATGTCGTTCATAATCTTTTTTAAAAAATCGCTTGAGAAAAATAATTTGACGGAAAAGTAAATAAATAAATAAATAACACAACGAAGAATGCCTTTCCATACCTCTTTAATTTCATTTCGGCAATGTATATTATTCATGATGAATTGTTTATAAAATTAGAACTTGTCTAAAAAAAAAAAAAAAAAAAAAAAAAACGGTCAAGCGACGAGAACTAATTATTTCGCTTGTTGTATTCCCTTTTAATTTCGTTCGCGACTTAAAAAAAAGAAAAAAAAAAAAAGAAAAAAAGAAAGAAAAAAGAAAAAAGAAAAATAAAATTTAAACTTTGAGAAATTATATTATCAAATAACCAAAAAAAAAAAAATAAAAAAAACAAA